TTTGTGTTTCTTTTTTCATTGTCTCCGACATATGCATCCCTCTCACCTTTTCTTTTTTTTTTCTAAATTCAGTTTTATCTCAATGCCACTTCTGCTCTGTTCTGGCTCCCTGGTGTCATCCGTGCAATGGTAAGGGGAAATTTCTGCCACAGGGAGCCTGAATGTCACCAGGTCGAAATGTGAGTGAATAAAATACCTTTAAATGCACCTGCTTCAAATTTGTAAAGCACTACTTGCCAGAAAATTTCCCACAGTGGGAAGCAGACCAGAAACCCCATCACCTCGTGATGCCACCAAGTGAGAGACGAACCCCAGCCCTGTCCCAGCTGAGGGCAATGCCACTCACGATACCCAGGCTATTGCCCTCCTACTGCACTGGTTACTTCAGTGCAGTGAAGACCAGGACCCGAAAGTGCTTTTCTCAACTTTCTCCTCTGTTTTGCATAAACAGAGAAAAAAAACAAGTTGAAGTTTTTTTCCCCATATATTTGAATTCACAGAGCAGTGCTCATCACCACTTGCAATGCAACATGATTGTGAAGAAAATTACCATTTGATAGGAGATTAATGCAATCTTCATCAGAAGACAAGAGTGGAAAAGACTTTCAAAAATAACTTTAAAAAAGGAAAAAAAAGGCAGAAGATGTCTGTGACCTTCTGTGACATTTGCATCTTGGTGACCAAGCAGCAGCAAGGTCCAGATGCTCCAGAAAGGAAGGTGCTGAAAGGAGGATGCTCCTTCTAGTATGGCCAACATTGAGCCACCAGCCACCCAGCTGGGGACACATCTCTGGAGCCTGTCCTCATGCAGCAGCTCCCAAGGTCTCCCCACCACTGGGGTCCTTGAGGAGTGATGCACGTTGGCCATTCCACCACAGAGTGGATGGCATTGGCACCCTCCCAGCCCTTTCTAGAGACTATGGAGCTATATATGAAAGATGTATGTGCAGGGAGTGGTTTGAAACCTTCACCTTGAGGATGTTCTTCCCTTTGCTGGTGGCAAAGGCCACATGGCTGTGAAAGACTGAAGAAGAGACTTCTTTTAACTGAAGAAAGAACAAAAAGCAGAAGAGGTGGTGAAAGAAGAATTGTCCTGGTGATGGAAGGGGGGAGGGAAAAGGCCGGGGGTGGGAGGGAGAGATAAACAGTGGGTGAGCTATCAGCTGTCGCCAGGACAGGGGATGGGGGTTAAACCAGCTGTGCAGCCATGATCGCCCAACCCCAGATAAACACCCAGCAGCCCCATGCTGCCCCACGCCTTGTCTCAGTGCCTGGTATGGAAACCAGCCCAGCCCCAGCTGCAGGGGCTTTGCTTAGCCTGACTGGGAGGAGGTCTCCCATGTCTCTAGCATGGGACTGTTCCTGGATAGGGCTCCCCACACCCCCCAGGTTGGAGTCTGAGAAGGGCCCCACTCTTTCACTCGGGGGGAAATGTCACCCAGAAACTGTAAAAACAAGCGTTGGTTGATGGGCTGCTGGGTGGCAGGTGTTTAGCAGCTAGGCTTTGGGGGGGATGCTTTAAAAAAAGCGAGGGATGCTCTAAAAGACCCTGTTTAAGTAGGTAACGACTCTGAAAATCATAGAAATTAAAGACATTCCTGTTCACCTGCTCCATGCTATGGGTATGGTACCGGCCACCATCAGCAGCATGGTGCTGCAGTTATTTACATGTTTATATATGTACATAAATACCCATACATGTTCAAGTGAGAACTTAGCCTGTAAACACTCCCTCACTAGTGTTACCAGCTCAATCTGTTTCTAAAGTATTTGTGCGCGTGGCTGTGATAAATTTAAAAAAAAAAAAAAAAAAAAAAGAGGAATTACTGTCATTGCCTATTAAATAATGAACGAACACTGCCGGTGCGTGAAGGGAAACAGTATTACCCATTGCCCCCAGCAGCCCTCTTTCCCCCGCACTGTCCTTCTCCCTAAAAGTGGGGAAAAGGCCATCAGAGCCTTTGGAGAACCTGCAAATTACGAGCTGGGGGTAACGCTGCAGTGGCTGGTAACGCTCGCCTGCAGCGGAGGATTGCTTCACCGCCCATCTTCCTTCCTGCTGGCCCCACACACTCTTCCTCCTGCTTGCTGCCTCTGCAAAAGCCCAGCCCAGACTGGACAGGGTGAGTCAAGCAAGAAAAAAATCAGCAGATCTTTTTGCAAGGTTTTTGTTGCCTGTTTATGACTTTTGATGGCTGGGAATGGGCCATCCTGGCATCCTCGCCCCACAATGCCCAGGAATGAAATACCAAAGCAGTGATGGATCCAAGTGACAAGGTGGGAGAGAGGCAGACAGCAAGTGGAGGCTGCTTTGTAAAACTTTATTTAGAAATATTCTTGATATATTCATTATATATATATATTTATATATACACACACATTACAACAAATGTGTTTTCTAAATAGCACATCCACAGTGGGTTGAGACTCAGGGTACCAGGTCTGGTTACTTTGTTTCTGCAGAAAAAATGCAGAAATCCAAAGGCAGGGTGGCAGAGAAAGGGATGAGGCTGAAAAACCCAAAGTTGTAAGGCAGGAATTCACTCACACAGTACGACATTGCCCCGAAGCGCTGTTTCCAACACAAACCAGGGGCGATGGTCCACACAGCAAGAGATGAAACAGGCAGGAGGAGAGGTGGGCAGAGGAAATGTACCATTCAAATCACAATTAAAGTACAACTGTACATACCCCGGGAGGCCTACGGCATGCTCTCCTAAGGGCTACGAGCAGGCGTGTGTGTGCATGGGGGCGCTAGGGGAGGTGCCGCCAAGGTTGTACCATTTTGCCAACTATTTAGCTACCGAAAAGATAAAAACAAATAACAATGAAATTATGAGGAATAAGGAACTTCTGAGTGTCGGTGAGTTTTTCTTGCAATAGTTTAATAAAAAGGGTGTGAAGCCCACCACTCCCCATGTTATTTCAAATGTTGAAAACCAAGAACGGCTTTATCTGTGTGACAGCATCCCCCTCCCTTCCCAGAGGGCCTCTGCCTGCCAGCCCCCACCACCTGCCTCTCTTACCCCTGACTCCAGGAGCAGCCCAAACCTCTTCCTCAGCATCACCCCATCACCTGCTGACACCTCTCCCCTGTCCCAGCTTTGCAGCCAACCCCCTTTGGTAAAAACCCCCATGGAACAGGCAATCTAGACCCAGAAAGGAGTTTTCCTCCTTTTCCCCAATTTAAGATGGGGGAGGTTGGTGGTTTCAGAGGATTTGGGGTCTATGCTAGAAACCCTTGCTTGGGCCAGGACCTCTCTCCAGGCAACTAATTCCACCTAATGTCCCAACCCACATGCCAGCCTCCCACCTATTATTTACAACGAGACATTAAAACCAAGCGGGCGTGGAAACCATGGGCTCTGAACTAAGCCTTGAGGGGCTTGCAGACACCCACCCAAATCCTCTGTGTTTCCTTGTACCTCAGCACCCTTGAAAATGAGCGAGTGCAGTGGAAGGTGTCCCTGCTTAGAGGACTTTTTCCCTTCCAAAGCATATTTGTGGGTGTTTTTTTTTTTTACTGTAGCACGTTAGAGATTTCTGTGCCTTGCATCTCGGCAGAGGGAGAGGATGGTCTTGGGGCAATTGCTCCACTGGGCATCAGGCGATGAGTGAGAGATGGGCCTGATGCAGCGGTGATGGCACAGTGCAGTCCTCAGCTCCCAGCCCTCACAGCAGCAGCCTCCTGCTCCCCAGTCCATCTGTTTCCCAAATGCCCTCCTGCGGGGGACAGCAGGGATCAGAGGATCAGCTCAGTCACAGACATCAATTTTGCAGCAATCTGAGCACTCAGGAGTGGAGGCTGATCCCACCGCTGCTTTTAGTGCTTCCCTCCAAGATTCGGAGAAGCTGTGGGCTCCTACCAGCCTTGGGCAGGCGAGGACCCTCCTAACGCCGGATTAAATCCAGCACTGTAGTCCAGCCTGTGGGCACTGGCAGAGCTGAACCACAACCATTTTCACACAATAAAACCAAAAACTTCAAAGCATACCATTAAAACTCTTTTATAACCCTATGTACACACACACTGTTGATGCATCATTGACTCCTTTTGCCTTTTTGTTGCTTTTTGAATTTAAAAATCACTAGCAAATACTTTTTTTCCCTTACCAATTCTGAAACTCATCTTCCTTGAGAGAAGCTCTGGCCCTACAGAAACCACTGGGAAAACTCTAGAAGACCACAACAGGCTTGGAGCTCATCCACTGAACGTTACCAGTAGAAGAATCAGGGACTGGGAGGGCAGCAGAGAACACCTATGTACCTTTTTGTTCAGTGGATACTGCATGACAGTGTTAAACAGAAGTAATCCCATGTCATAAATACAACTGCAAACGATCCAAAGTTAGGTAGAAGGGAAAGGAAGAAAGGGAGGGGAAAAATAAAAAAAATAAAAAAAAAAAAGGAGAGAAAAAGAAATAGTCTTAATCCTTTTAATAGTTCTTTTGCTGAGGGTATTTTTTCACCTCTTTAAAAAGATACAGTCAAAAGCTCTCGGACAACAGGAACACATGGCCCCAGCTCCTGCTCAGACCAGTTGTATTTGCCACAGGCTGGAGAAATGCTGCAGCACTGGAAGGTTTCAGCAGTCTCCAGCGCCATGTGGAGCTGGAAAGCATCTGTGGCCTCCGCTGGCAGCGAAATACAAGTTTTTTGTCTCAACCAGGTGACTGTTTAAAAAGCAATGGTTGTCAAATGGTCTGAAAACCTTTTAAACTCTGGAGAGGTGCTGGCTGCGTTTCCTTTCCCTCCGCAGAGTCACATCACGAACAGTATGTACAATGAAGATGACTTCAATGCTTTTCTTCTTTGTACGATCACGTACCTAAATACCGAATGTCCATCTGGTTTGGTCTTGTCCTTGGCCAATGTGCTGGCCACTCCGTCCCAGGCTGGGGAGGATGGGGAGCCCGAGCCCCTGGAGAAAGGCAGAGTCACAAATACCACGGGCATAAGTTCCAGCATTGGCACACTCAGGTCTCGCCTCCCCCCTTGGTGCTTTGGGAGCGATGTGGAAGGTCATCACCGCTGCGCATTGCCTTCTACAGGGAGAATGGCATGGTGCAGGCTCCGTGTGTGCTTCGAATCTAGTGTTTCATGCTCTTCCGTGAAGCTGTCCGGGCTTGCCGCTCCGTCTAAAGAACTTCCACAGCTAGAGTTAGGAGACAACATGTCCTGCAGGAGGTCTTCCTGGACTATCCCAGAGTCTTTGTTCACTTTGCCCCTTTGGTTTCCTTCTTCCTCCTGATCATTGAGCAGCTTGGCCAGGAAGTTGATGTATTTCATAGCCAGGCGCAAAATCTCATTCTTGCTCAGCTTTTTGTCTGGTGGGTGAGTGGGGATGAGCTTGCGAAGCTCTGCAAAGGCTCCGTTGACATTCTGCTGTCTCCACCTCTCACGGCTATTGGTAAAAATGCGACGAACCACTTTCGTATGAGGACCTGCAATTGCAACCATGCAGAATTAGGAGCAGAGTGTAACAGGTCATTTATTGCTTTGCCGAATAGGTCTCTGTTTCCCAAATTAACTGACTTATTTTAGGGACATCAGTAAGGCAGTGAAACAAGAGTTTCCAGCTAACTGGAAGCTAACCTGACGAGCTGAGGTAGCCATAACTTCTCTTCAATCCAATGGAAGGAAAAAATGTAGTTACATCTTTTTAGTTGTCTCCTGAGATGCCCAAATTTACCTCTCCAAGGAGGAAGACTTAGGCCATGACACACGTGCAGAAGGCTGCTATATTTTCAGGGTATCTCAGCAACAAAGGTCCTATTAAAAGTTTATCTCACTAGATGGCTTTATTTTCTATCCCAAAAGTGTCTTAAGGACATACCATTGGGACAGGAGGAAATTAGCTTGAGCAGAGGCTTTGACAACTCCGAGATGCAGAGTTTGTCCCTGATGTAGGCAGGATCCAGAGATTAGATAGAGACCATAGGATTGCCACCAGGTGAAACGAGGTGATAGGATTCACCGGGTAGCAATGAGGACAGGCAGCAATGTGACCCGCAAAGTGAAAGCAGCACTCTTGCTGGAAGGATCATCACTGGTGGAGGATGAAGTCGTTTCACAGCTGGCTTGAGGACCATCTCTCCCCTGTAGCCCCCACTCTGGGACACTTGCCTAACTACTCCCTCCTGGTGGGAGCAAGTCTCTGACCACGGTGAGCAGTTTAAGCCACAGCTCTGCCATCACCCAGTGAAACCAGCACCCCAGAGGACATTTAAACATCATTATTCTTATATAGCAAAACTCCTGGCTGCTTTGACTGTAGCAGAGCAGCCAACAGATGTGATTTTGGAGGCATCCTAGTCAGGCTGAAGCTTGACAGATCCCACCTGGCACAACCCGAGAAGAGGAATCCCACATTCCAGCTGATTTCCTCCCTTCAGGGGAAACTGAGCCCCCTTGGTCCAGCACATCACACGAAATACTCCCTACTGTAGGGTTTTCATGGGGACACACTCCCAAGCAGCCAGATTAAAGCTACCTGTTTCCCCAGCATGCGAGCAGCCATGGAACTCACTTCTCCTCGCAGAATGCTCAGGAGCAGGGAGTCCCCCAAATCACAAAGAGTCCCTGGGATAAGCTGAGGGATGTTGTAACAAGAAATTAATCTCTGAATTCTAAGATCCCAGTCTGACACTTTAATAAAGGCAATTTTCCACCCCCAAACAGCACGTAAATGCACTTCATGTGAATTAATGTGCAAGAGTTCATGGAAAGGAAAGGTTTCTTGTCCCTGATATGCAGAGCCCGCTGTGCCATGGGGTCCTGGGGACCACGGGGACCTCAACAACACCAGACTGCCCAGCACTGCTAATAAGGCAGCAGAGAATGTGCTACAACTTACTACAATAATAAAACGGTTTTAGCACTTAAATGTTCCTTCCAGACAAGACAAAGCAACCAGCCTTGAATCCAGGAGATGCAGCTTAAAACCTTTTTACTCCTATAAGGGTTCGAGGGGAAAAAAAAAAAAAACAACAAACTGGGATACTGTTTATTTGCCAAAAAAAAAAATAAAATCTCAAGAGACTTACAGTCTTCACAGGCTTCAAACATGCATCTCTATTCACTGAAAGTTGCCGACTAAAAGCTATCGATTCATAAATAGGTCAGAAATCAGGAAAAAAAAAGACCTGTTCATTTTTGTCCAGGGGCACCCAAACCGCACTCCAGTAGGTAACAGAAATTCTGACACCACTCAAATTTGTGATTCCTGCATCAACTGAATTAAATGTATCTTTTAGAAAGAGATCTGGTTTTGGCCAAAACATGTCAAGCAGTGGAGAAATTTAAAATGCCCCATAGCTGTGTTATAATAAAAGAGATTTATTTCTCATGAAGAAACTTGCTTCATAATAAATTCAAGCAGTCGGCTGAGAATTTTTGCCTGGATTTTGTTCTAATTGATTGATTGATGCTTTTTAAACTGTAATTAGAGATCTGAGGAAACTAATAAAAGAGATCAGCTTCCAAAGTCCCAGAATACCCTTATAGATATTTTTTTACATTTTTATCTCCATTTATATCTGTTTTTTAAGATGAGATTCAGTGCCCCAAACTTTCCTCAAAATGGATAAAGAAATAGTTTCAAACAAAACACCACTCGTTCCCTTACAGAGGAATACAAACACCAAGCGCCCGGCAAGGCTCTGCTCCCTTATGCACCTCCAGAGGGCTGAGGACCCGCAGGAGCGATGCTCCAGTGTGCCGCAGATGTCATCCAGCAGGTGACCATAAAAGCAACGAGCAAAGCCCAGCAGACCCCACAGATGCCCCAGCACAGGATGCACATCCCTCAAATTGCTCCAGTTCAGACAGCATCATCTGGTACCTATTTTTCCCCCCCAAAAAAATCTTGAGTCTAGTCTTGGAAATTCACATGAGCCAGAACCTGCCCAATCTATAACCTGCATTAAAGCACATACCCAAAAACTTGGTTACAACCAAATGTCTCTGTAATCCTTAATGTCTGATTTAATAGCAAATCAAAAGCTTTAGTCAGACACTGTGATTTGATGGACTTTTCACCGTAACCACTAAGCCTCTGAATCGAAACCCAGACAAAAAGCCCTTCTTGTGCCGGGGGCTGAGACAACCCCCTGCCCCACGGGGATGCGGTCTGAAAGGACCAGGCAGACGGAGGAGGGCAGAGAGTGTGGAAAGAGGGACTGATGAACGCAGATAACGCCCCGGGCCCATAATTTCATACCGTATTATTTTAGAGTCATGTGGAGTATCATTTGGTCTGATTTTCGCTTAGCCGGGTAGCAGGAAAGGGACAGCTAGCTCGAAAGAAGGAAAATTAATTGTCTGGCGATTGAAAGAGAGTGTTTACAATTGCTAAAGAGAAGACACATTTCAATGGATCTCATTTGTATGGGCTGTTACCTCTGCAGATAAACGTGTCAGGCTTCCACGTGCAAATTGTTCTTGCAAACATCCCTTTGCGTGGGCAGCACTGCTGCCCGCACGCAGCCTCCCAAAACCCACGCCGGCTGCCTGGGAGCAGGCAGCAGGATCCTGCCCTGCCTTCTCCCTGACTTCCCTTCTTTGAAATTATTCTGCCAGTCCAACAGGGATCCCTGGACCTGGGATCTCTGCTCAGACACCAGACTGTCACTCTCCACATCTGCTCCGAGGCTCTGCCACAAGACCAGCCGCGGGATATTTCTCCACAGCAGACTGCAGCAGGGTGTGGATATAAACTGGATCAAGGTGCAGACAAGCTGGCAAAGGGACCGGCCACAAACCCGCTGTGACCCTGAGGACCCTAGCACAGGTTTAGTTCTTTGCTTCCAGGAAGCTTAAAAGCAGGTGGGAGCCTTCTGTCTGAGGCTGCAGCCTGCGTTAGGAGTATCTCTTGGCTGAAAAGGTTTGCAAACACAGCATGTCACTGCAATGGCCCTGATCCAGCCGCTGCAATTCAACAAAGACTTAAATTCAGTGGCTTCCTTCGCATTTAATCTCTAAGCAATTTGCAGAACAGGGATGTGATTAACCAAAAGGTGAACTGCTCTGCTGCGTGAAAGCAAATCCACCGAGCACGCTGCTGGTCATCAGTTGGGACAGATCTCGGCTCTGCTGTACAGAGCCTTACTGGGGGGAGCGCTCCCGCCACCACAGGCTTCCTAGTCGCCTTTTACGATTCGGGGTTTTAATCCCAGCATGTGGCACCGTGCAGCAACTTGCCCCCTTCAGCAGACTGGGAACCCCCCAAGAGCCAGCGCAGGGCCGAAACGCTCTCACCGTCGGTGATCTCCATCTCGTAGGGAGAAGGTCTCCTCTTCACCCGGTTGCTGCCGTACATGGAAAAGGAGTCCGGTTCGCCAAAAAACCCGCTGCAAACGAAAGGCAAGAGAGGTGAGGGCACACTAGCATCCACCCCGCATGGCCCGGCCCCCGCGCGGGGGGAGGCGCTTGG